TGTTCAAGTTTAGAAAATTTGGGAAAACAAGAGCAAGATTCTGGGATATAATGTGAACAATATATTCTACATACCAACCAGACAACATTAAGGAGAACAGTTATGATCTTAGTGAAAAGAACACACACATGCACACACATATACAGACACAGACACACTCAGTTTAATTACAGAATGAGACCATGTCCTAGAAACAAAGAAACTCTTGAAAAATGAGCACATGATTCTAACTATATAAGATGACTTTTATATCTAGCCAAAGTGCTAGCTCTTGAGAGGAAAGGAAGTCAAGGGAAGTTAAAAAAAAAAAAAAGCAGAAATTCTAATATTTAGCAGCCACTTAGATATGTCAAAAATTGATGAGTTGAAAATTACTCAGTACTTCTCTAATTCAGTTAAATAAAAGATGGCAATGTGTCCCATTGAAAAGAAGGTGATAGAAGCAGATCCATTACCACCATATTTAATGATGTCAGTTATTAGCATATGTGTGATCTAATATTCAGTCAGATATTTAAAGAAGGACAGATTGTGGGAACAACCCAAACATTTTAAAAAAATGAGTTTAGCGTTTGTCTGTTAGCAAATACTTTACCAGGAATCTAATGTAGACATAATAGGCTAAAAACAGAGCTAACTCAGGGGAAAAAAAGTACATTTAGAGACATGGTAAAAATGTCCAGAAAAAAGACAGAAATGCAAGAAGGGTATTTGGAAATCTTGGCTTGAAGATGGTACTGAACATTATATCCATTATACTATTATAGAACTGAATGGAAACTTGGTGAATAGAATAAAATAGTTCAAATGGGTTTTGAGAAATGTGTTCAAATCCCTTGCATAAAGATGGATGTGTAAATGTATAAACTATGCAAGATAGGTGCTTTTTTGTTCCTAAATAGTTGAAAAACCTATCCTAATAACTTACTGCAGTATTTTGTCCTTTTTGGGTTATCTTTTCCATCTATCTATTCCAAAATCATCCCAGCTGAGAGTTAGAACACAATGCTAGTTACAACCAAACAAAGAGAAAGAAATAATGAAATTTGGCACCGTTTGTGATATATACAATTTAGTATCTTGTGCTGACAATTGGGGCATTTTGTACAATTATTTTAATAATTAAGAAAGAGATCTTAAGGGTGCCTGGGTGGCTCAGTCGGTTAAGCGTCCAACTTCGGCTCAGGTCATGATCTCATGATTCGTGGATTCGAGCCCCACGTCTGGCTCTGTGTTGACAGCCAGCTCAGAGCCTGGAGTGTGTTTCAGATTCTGTGTCTTCCTCTCTCTCTGTCCCTCCCCTGTTCACGCTGTCTCCCTCTCTCTCTCACAAATAGAAACGTTTAAAAAAAAGAAAAAGAGATCTTAGAATATAAATTTGTCAATATTTCAGTCCTCACTGTCTAGGTTGAAAGAGAAGAAACTGTCCCTAAATTTAATAATTCTCCTAATACTCTGAGTTCTTGTTTGTTCTAACAGTCAATCATAAGTACAACTGTCTAAATTTAGGCCCAAGTCCTTAATAGGGCTTGATTAATATAAATTGTGCTAGAATATTCCTATTAACTTCAGGTGGATTTCTTTTCCACTCTAATCAAATGATTTACATTATTTTTTAGAAATGGAAAATAATCATGTCTTAAATAAATGAAAAGCATTATTTTTTTAAATTTTTAATATTATTTTCTTTTTTCATACATCCCAGAGCCTTGAAATGAGTCATGACCACAGGCTTTGCCAAGGCAGCTATAAAGTTGGCCTTACAAAACAAACTAACAAACAAACAGAAAATAATTTTGCCTTTCTGTGGGGCACCTGGGTGGCTCAATCGTCTAGGCAGCAGACTTCGGCTCTGGTCATGATCTCATGGTTCATGAGTTCAAGCCTTGGATCAGGCTCTGTGCTACAGCTCAGAGCCTGGAGACTGCTTGGGAATTTTTTATCTCCCTCTCGCTCTCTCTCTGTCCCTTTTCCACTTGTGCTCTCTCTCTCTCTTAAAAATAAATAAATAAACATTAAAAAATAATTTCGCCTTTCTATATTATGTGTACACACACACACACACACACAGTATATATAATGTTATGAATGAAATGCATGTGCACATGTGAGAGCTAGGGAAGAGCAGAGAGAGTGGGAGAATCCCAAGAAGATTAGCAAAGACCCCTAAGTGGGGCTCCATCTCAAAAACAAGGAGATTATTACCTGAGCCAAAATCAAGAGCTGGCTACTTAATCAACTGAGCCCCTCAGGGGCTCCGTATTTTCACTATTTTTGTTTCTACTCAAATGTTCTCTCTTCAGAGCCCTCCTCTGTTTAGAAAAGTATGTCTATTCATTTATCCAGCTTTGTTTCTCTTCATACTACTTACAATTACCTGAAATGATATTTAATTTCTTTTTTACTCAGTATCCTTAATTAAATTGTAAGCTCAAGGTACACAAAAAACATTACAAGATGAAATGCCAACAAATTTGCAATGAGTAGTAAATAAGTCCTGGAGACCTAATGCACAGTTTCATGATTATAGTTAACAATATTGAATTTTAATCATCAAGCTTATTAAGAAACTAGATCATAATTATTCCAACCACTAAAAATAAATGATAATTACATGGCATGAAAGATGTGCTAATTATTGTTACAATGGCAATCATATTACCACATATAAATGTATCAAATTAACAAGTTGTACACCTTAAATTTATACAATGTTATGTGTCAAATATATTTCAATACAAAATAAAAGCCTCATAGGTGGCTGATGCTTAATTAATGTTAGGTATGGGTCAAGTATTGAATTAATTGAGGAATTACTTGTAAAAGAATACATTATTTGGGATATTGATTTGATTTCTGGGCATATTTACTTGGAATGCAAGAGACACCTTTGCTTTTCTAATATCAGTCTATGCAAGCTTTATGCAATTATTTAATTTTTCTGCCCTGGCTTTTTCATATTTAACAGGAGGCTTTAAGCACATCATTGTGTTTATAATAAAATCTTTCTAAAATGAAAGGGTTCTACAAAACCCAGAAAGCAGAAAACCTGAATTCTTTTTTTTTTAAATTTTATCTCTTTATTTTGAGAGACAGAGAGCGAGCAGGGGAGGAGCAGAGAGAGGGAGACCCAGAACTGGAGGCAGGCTCCAGGCTCTGAGCTGTCAGCACAGAGCCCGATGTGGGGCTCAAACCCACAGACTGTGAGATCATGACCTGAGCCAAAGTGTTAAAAGAGGATTATTAGACCTACTTAACCACACTGTAAAAGCATGTATATACAATGCCTAATCTCTGCATATTCTCCATATATGTTTTTTTTTTCTTTTAAGGTACTTTCCAGTTCCAATAATTAAAAGTTTAATTATATAACTCTTGCACTAATGTAAGCATGAGGAAACTGGGCATTATCAGGCCACACCATTTTAAAAGCTTTAATCTCCTCTGCTGGGGGCTGGATGGTACTCAAAACCTCACAGGCTAGATTATAATCTCAAATAATGAAAATGTCAAGCATAGATGTACCTCAGTGCAATACTCATCAGACCTTCTTAAAATCAAACTTGTTAGTGATGTGCATTTCTGAAGACAGCTAATCCAGAAGTCTGAGCCTGACTTTTAATACTGATTAACTCAAAATGACTAGAAAAATGATAGCATTGGAATATATTGGCTGGTAACATGTGACTAGTGAGCTGTCATTAACTTAGCAGTGAGGTACAGTGACAGGTGTATTGGAGCTGTACGCGGTATCAAATATATCCAGAACATTATGCAATAATAAAGCAGTAAAAAGGTCTTCTCTCTGAATATAATATTCACCTCTGCCTAAAATCAGAAAATATACACATGTGGATTTCAGCATACTGACAATGACATGACAGAAGCTGGTTAGGTCTGTGCTAAGGCAGCCCCTGGCATGACTCTAAATTTAGTCATCTCTGACTGTAAGATACTGCTGATGAAACTCTCAACTTAGTTTGTATAGCCATCCAAATATTATCTCAAGGCAGCATTTAAATAAATATTTAAAGCAATATTCACCAACATGAACTTCCTTGTTCAGCTTTCCTGTTGACACCAACTTATAAATGTTGTAATATGGTTAAAATTAATTCTAAGTTCATGTGTACTTGCTGCTAAAACAAAAACACATACACACTCTTAGTTTAACATACACTCCATATTGGAATTAGAGACAAAGATGAAAACACAAGTAAGTTTCAGGAAAATAAATTTGGTGAAAGGTTTCAAATGAACTATATGGAGGAGTGTATCATTCTTTTTTCTACACCACGAGAATGTCTTTTATCCTGTATACATCAGTTCAATTAAGTGTTTTGAGTTTCCTTGCTATTCAGTATAAAGCTTCCCTCTGATTTAATCAAGTGTGTAGTTGATAATATTGACAAGCTTCTTTTTTTTTTCTCTTCACTTCTGGGCACATTGTTACATTTTCCTGCCTCTTAATGTTAGATGTGGCCATATAACTTGCTTTGGTAATGAAATGGGAGCACAAGTGGTGTGTGCCACTTCTGGATGAAAACAGAGTATCCTTCATCATACACTTTCTTTCCTATTCTTTTTACAATCTGTTTATAGTGACAGATTCATTCTCATATAATAAATGCTAATATAAATAAAATCATATGGCATGTGCAATTTTGTCTAGAGTTTTTCATTCTGCACGTCTGATATCCATCCATTTTGTTGAATATATCAATAGCAAATTTTATGTTGTGTAGTTTACATGGTATAGACATAACACCATATATATATATATATATATATATATATATATATATATATGCTCATTCATCTGTTGATTGACATTGACATTGGATTGTTTCTGATTCTATTAAAAATAAATCTTTTATGAACTTTTACATAAATGTCTTTACATGGGCATGTGCTTTCAATTCTCTTGGGTAAAACCTAAGAAACTGTGAATCTATTTACCAAAGTGGTTGTACTACTTCACTTTGCAGGCAACGATTTATGAGAGTTTCAATTCTTCCATATCCTCATTAAAAATCATATTTGTTAGTTAATTTCACTTCCCTGATTATCAGTGATGTTTAACATACTAACATGTGTTTGTCATCTGTGTATCTTCTCTCATGAAATGTCTGTCCAAATTTTTCCTCTAATTTTTAGGTTGGCTGTTTGATTTCTTGTTATCTGAGAGTTCCCTAGACATTCTGGACACAGTTTGATACAAGGTTTGCAAATAATTATATTCTACCCTGTAACACATCTTTTCTCTTTCATAGCTGTGATATTTCAAGAGCAGAAACTTTGTTTTAAATTTGAAGATGTTCAGTTTGTCCTTTTTTTCAAAAGATCGTGCTTTTGTTGATGTATCTAACAAATATTTGTTGCTAAACCCAAGGTCACAAAGATTTTATTCCATTTTTTCCTAGATGTTTTGAATAAGGTTATGATCCTTTTGACTGAACATTATTTACCATCCAAGCTATGTATCATTTATTTTTCATACAGATATCCAATTGTTTTAGGAAAATTTATTGAAAGGACTATTCTTGCTCCAATGCTATGCATTTGAACCTTTATTTAAAAACAAAAAAAAAAAGAGTTGGCCCTTTCCCTTGGTCTCTTTTCCTCATTGGCAGCAGTGGCAGATTGTGCAGACCTGGGCAAGATTAAGACTGGAGACCTTCTCAACAAGAAGGAAGAGCTGCTGAAACAGCTGGAAGACCTGAAAGTAAATCTGTGGCAGAGGCACCTGGGTGGCTCAGTTGGTTGAGCCTCTGGCTCAGGTCACGATCTCGCGGTCCATCAGTTGGATCCCCACATTGACTTGCTGCTGTCAGTACAGAGCCCTCTTCAGATCCTTTGTCTCCCTCTCCCTCTCCCTGGGTGTCTCTCTCTCTTTCTGTCAAAACTAAAATAAACATCTAAAAAGAAGAAAGCAAAGTTGAGCTGCCCCAGCTGTGTGTCGCCAAAGTGACAGGTGCCAGGGCCTCCAAGCTCTCCAAGATCTGAGTTGTTCACAAATCCATTGCCTGTGTCCTCACCATTGTCAACCAAACTCAGAAAGAGAAGCTCAGAAAATTCTACAAGGGTAGGAAGTACAAGCCTCTGGATTGGTGCCCCAATAAGACACATGCCATCATCTGCCAGCTTAACAAGCACTAGGAGAAACTGAAGACCAAGAAGCAGCAGCAAGTACAAGGTCAAGACCTGAGCATTGGCATCAATAAAACACAAACTGAAAAAGTAAATAAAGATGAGTTGTCCTTTTATGTGTCAATCTATTTTTTGACTCTATACTTTATTACATTTATCTATCTATCTTTATGAAAATATCACATGGTCTTGATTACAGTAGCTTTATAATATGTTTTGAAAGAGTAATCCTGCAAATTTTTTCTTACTTTCAGGGTTGTTTTGAGTAGTCTCTAAATTTTTATATAAATTATTTAAGAAAAATTTTCATATAAATTTTAGAATCAGCTTGTCAATTTCTACCAAAAAATACTATGACAATCCTTATGGGAATTGTATTAAATCTACAGATCAATGTGGGAAGGTTTGTCATCTTAAATGTACTGAATCTCCCTACATATTACGAAGTATTGTCTCTCCACTCACTTTCATGTATTATTTTAATATTTTAAATTTATTATTGAAGTTTAATTTGAGGACTTTTATATATTTTCATTCTCTACTTTTAGAACATAAGTAAAATTATAATAATTGTTCTAAAGTACTTTCCTTTAATTCTAATCTTGGTGTCACCTCTGGGTTGTTTTTACTTAACTGATTTTTTTCCTTACTATGGATCATATTTCCTTACTTATTTGCATGCCTGTTAATTTTCGAACTATATGCTAGATATTGTAAATTTTATGTCATTTAACAATTTTTGTGTTTATTTATTTTTAAGAGAGAGAGAGAGAGAGAACAGGGGAGGGGAAGAGAGAAAGGGAGAGAGAAAATCCTAAGCAGGTCCCACGCTGTCAGTGCAGAGCCTGACGAGAGGTTTGATCTCATAAACCGTGATGTCATGACCTGAGACAAACACAAGAGTAGGATGCTTAAGCAATTGATCCACCCACGTACCCCAATGAATTTTACATCATTGTAGGTTGGATATCTTCATATTTCTATAAATGTTCTAGATCTTTGTTCTGGGATTCAATAGACATAGACTGTTCCTTTCATGTCTTAATTTTACAATTGTTTAGGAAGCTGCAGGGCATGTCCCAGGCAGCTAATTATTTACCATCAATGAAATAAGATGTCCTTGAGTTATTTATGTATTGCCTCATGAATTATGAATTTTCCATCTTACGGGTAGGAACACATGCTATTCCTGGCCCTAGACAGCACCAGATCCTTTATGGTCTAATCCATTTGGAAAGTTCTCTACCCAGTGCCACGTAATTTTCTCATGTGTATACACTGGTGCCTATTCTGCCGACCATTTGAGGGGCCTTCTGTAGCTCTCTGGGGTTTTCTCCGCATGCAGATTTCTTCCCTGTAGTCCCAGCTTCAGTCTCCTGGAACTTTTAGCTCTACCTCAAGTCCTGGAATCTGCCAGGCTCCTCTGTGCAGTTTGTGAGAAAACTCTCTCTCAAATGTAAAAATGATACTGTCATTTCCCTCACCTGAAATCTACTTTATATGGCTTGGCATAACTTATAGGAGTCCTCATGATTAGATTCTTGCCTACTCCTTCAATCTTACACTGTTCCACTCTGACACATAGAGCAAAGAAACCTAAGCACTGCTCATAACAAAATCTCCTGAGTGGATTTTTATGTAATTTGTTATTTTTATATAGTTTTAGACTTACAGAAAAGTTGCAAGAAATATAGAGATTTCCCATAACCATTTTGCCAAACTTTCCTTAACATTAACATTTTATATAACCATAGTACAGTTATCACTATCAACAAATTAACATTGTCACAATACTACTAAGAAAAATTTTATTCAAATTTCATCAGCCTTTCCACTAATGTCTTTTTTTTTCTTATAGAATCCTACCTTGAATTTACTTATTATTTCTCCTTAGTTTTATTTAACTTATTTATTTTTATAGTTGCCAGATCTTTACTTTTTTTCATGATATTGACACTTTTGAAAAATACATGTTAGTTATTTGGAAAACTTTTCCTAATTTGATTTTGATTGATGGTGTTCTAATGTTTGAAATGAGGTTGTACATTTTGGGAAAGAATACTACAAAATGATATTATGCTCTTTTTAGTGGCTTAGGTCAGAAACTTCATGATGTCCACTATTTTAACACTGGTGACATTAACCTTGATCACTTGCTTCAGTTAGTATCTGCCAGGTTTATTCTTTTTAAGATTACTATATTTAATACATATCTTGGGGTAGATACTTTGAGACTAAACAAATATCCTGTTCCTCCTCAAACTTCTGCCTACTAATTTTAATAACCCTTTGTAGTCTTGTCTGCAACTATTGTTGCTGTGGTGCTTGCCTAATGTTGGCTTCCTCTTTCCCTCTCCTTTAAAATTTTAAATTGGTGGGGCTTCTGGGTGGCTTAGTAAGTTAAGCATCTGACTTCGACTCAAGTTATTATCTCATGGTTCAGGAATTTGAGCCACATCAGGCTCTGTGTGGACAGCTCAGAGCCTGCTTCAGATTCTGTGTCTTCCTTTCTCTCTGCCCTTCCTCTGCTCACGTCTGTCTTTCTCTCTACCTCAAAAATAAATAAACATTTAAAAAAATTAAAATTTTAAATTGGAATTCATTAGAAAAATGACTCTTCTTTCTCCCCCATTTATTTATTAATTATTTATTTATATCAGTATAAACTCATGGATATTTAATTATATGAATTATAATCCAACACTGTGATTGTTTTATTGTTCCAATAGTTTGGCCATTAGGTTCTACTTTAGGTGGATTCCTGTATCTTTTTGTCAGGCTTCCATCCTCTGATGAGAACATTCTTATTTCCTGACACCCCAAGGTATTTTAAGCCTATCTTGGATTTCTCTTGCCCCAACCCTGGACTCAACCATTTAATTCAATATGGAAACTTGGTTTTTATTTTTGTTTTTGTTTTGTCATTTAATTGAGAAAATGTCATTTAGAAGTGTATTAACACTAGTTGTGTGTATGCATGGATTAAAATATATACAATTAAATATATAATATAATATATAATTAATATATATAATATAAATATAAATATAAATATAGTATAATATAAATATATTAAAATATATACAAATATTTCCTAGCTCTGTCTGTCAACAAGGCCTGGTATTAATAATACCCCAATAATGATGAGCACAGTTACATATCTGTATCTATACTTAATCTATCAATCAAGTATCTATGTATCTAATCTGTTGCCATGCATTTATACAGACACTTCAAATTCCATCATTTGAGCTTTTTCCTTTTCTTATTTACAACTTTTTTCTTAGACAAGTAATCAGCTCTTAGTATCTGTATCTATATATTCACTTAATGCTAGATATAAATAATTTCAGAAATACTTATTTATTCCTTCTGTGTCTATTTTAATAATTCTAGTATATCGATTACAGTATTTATTTATAGGTTCTTTACCTTTGAAAATTTCTTAGGTTATATGCTGTCTTCCCTATTCCCTTTAGTAGAGTTATATTATTGATTTGTAGTTCAGTTAGGTTAGCTTTTTTCTTGTATTCTGTTTTGGGTTTCTCAGCACATGCTGGTAGGTTTTAATTCTGGGTTAAGAGTTAGAGATACACAAAGACTATCCACAGTGAAATGTCATGGCCTTCTTTTCCCTCTTACCTTTTCCCATTATTTTCTTCTTTCTACCCATTTCCACCCACTCCTGCAGGTAATCAATATCTTTCTGGTACATTTTCCATTTCATCTCTTTCTCTTACAGTCTCTTTCTCATCATTTATAGTAATTAATTTTTAAATTAATTCATTGGGCCTGGAAACCTGCTAAAGATTTTTATTACTTTGTTTATTCTTCACAAAAAAAAACCCTATGAAATAGTTAATATTCATATCTCAACTTGATAAGAAACAAAAGCTGTAATTGTAAATTGTCAGGGTAGCTACACAGGTAAGTAAAAGGCTGAGCCAAGGTTTAATTGATTCAGATGTTTGATGAGATCTCTTGTCTTTTCCAATCAAGGGTACATTTGCACTGAAGCCTTCAATGACCTCCCAGAGCAGCCAGCTGGCCCTCATCTACCTTCTCTTTAGCTTTCACTGTGTTCTGCTCACACTATTCATATAATATTTTGAATCCCAGTTCTGCCACTTACTATTTGTATGACCATGTGTAATATTAGTTAAGTTCTGGGGTGCCTGGGGGAGCTCAGTCAGTTGAGCATCAGACTCTTGATTCAGCTTAGGTCATGATCTCATGGATCTTGAGATCATGCCCCACATTGGGCTCTGTCCTGACAGCATGGAACCTTCTTGAAACTCTCTCTCCCTCTCTCTCTGCCCCTCTCCTGCTTGGACGCTTTGTCTCTTACTTAAATAAAAAGAAATACATACATACATACATACATATATATATATATATATATATAGTTGGCTTTGATGAAACTCCATTTTTAATCTGTTATAATAACTTCTTCATGTGGTTGCTATGAATAACAAATTAATATTTTAAACATTTATATCTCATATAAAACATTAACAATTATAAAATATTTAAAAGTTAGCCCATGCCCTGTTAATTGATTAGTATTTAGTTAATTGAAAATATATATTTTTGTTTTCAGTTTCTCCCATTTCTTTCAACTAGGTTCTATAGAATTTGGGAGCCATTCAATTATCTTTGCTGCCTACAAATTGCCTGGAACACAGAGCTATGCTCAGTATGTGTTTGAGAAGAAGTGACTGCATAAGAAACTGAAGTCTAACTACAGCACTCCAAATGTTTTTAAAAAGATGAAGTATGATTGTTAACCTACCAATTATTTGAAATTCAAATTTAAAGTGAATATGGGGGGCGCCTGGGTGGCTTAGTCAGTTAAGCGTCTGACTTTCGCTTAGGTCATGATCTCGTGGTTCGTGGGTTCGAGCCCCGTGTCGGGCTCTGTGCTGACTGCCAGCTCAGAGCCTGGAGCCTGTTTTGGATTCTGTGTCTCCCTCTCTCTCTCTCTCTCTCTCTCTCCTAGAAATAAATAAAACATTAAAAAAATTTTTTTTAAAATAAAGTGAATATGGAATTAAATATCTGCACTAATATATCAATGTTTCTTGGGAAAATGGCATCCTTTAATTGAAGATTGGGT